TTCTTGGAAAAGTCCGTTCCAACACGTGCCAAACAGCTTTTTGCATTCATTGACTTTCTTATCTATTTGTATCCATACATACACACTTCTATGCGCCAGCAAAAGCACTAAAAATTTCTGTAGGAGCTCAAAGGAACTCAAAATCATGAACCACAACCCTGCGTCATTTTGTACATTGTTAGTTGGGAAGAAGTGGAAATGTAACTGGTACCTATATCAAAGCAGATTAAGCTCTGTGGGGCATTTCACGCGCGCGGTTGTGTAACAGGTCTTTATATTCACAGCGGATTAACACGCAATTGTTTAAAAAATTAGAGCTGTGAAAATTGTTCTTTTTTTTCGAAAATTTAGTTAATCTTGCTCAGTCCAACTTCCATTAATAGGGTCTTATTTACGGATTGTATCCAACTGTTTATTTTAGGAATTTCCGTCCTGAAGATTCTATGAAATATGAAGGTTCAATACTGGTAATTGAAAACGCTGTGAAGAGCTAAACTGATCTATAGGTGCAAAAGTATCAAAAAAGTGGTATGTTCACAAAGATTTGCTGGTTTGTTGTAACATTCTTCAGCTCGCCTTAATGTTTTAGAGTTTGTAGCAAAGCTATGAAATGAGTTTTACAAAATTGTGTTCTGTTAGGCAGAGGGTTGAAAACTTGAGTGTTGAGATCCATGGTTTGAAAATAACTTCTATTTGCCCTTTTGTGGCCGCTTAGGATAGGCAGAGTTGAAGTTTGCACCAAATTCCCAATTGCGACTTTGAATAAGACTTTGTAAACTAGTATTGCATTAGCTTTATTTTTAGAGGCAAAACTGAGACAGAAAACATCACATAGCTGATTCCGACTTTTCTATCTGCTTCGATGCCTCTACAACGGTATCGTTGTTCCCGCCAAGAGATACGGTATCGTTGCCACCAAGCATAGTAATGTCATTGACCGTCGGACGTTGAGCAGGCTCCAGTAGCTCGGTGTCATTGGCTACATGCGATTCGTCCACACTTTTCTTGACAACCTTCTTTACTTTCTTGAAGTTCTCACTGTTCTCTTCATTATTCGAGTCTTCATCGTGAGCAGAACGGTGTAGCGCATAAGCTGTTTTGTCCTTTGGCGCCGCGTCTCTCGGTGGGCAAGGACAGTACTCGGCATTTTTGCCTGGTTTACCATCTTCTCCGTTTTTTCCATGTCCTCCATCCTTTGCTTTCTTTCCATCTTTTCCGGGCGGTCCCATAGGTCCCATTGGTCCAGGTGCTCCTGGAGGTCCCTCTGGACCTTCTGGTCCTACTGGTCCTGGTGGTCCCATCGCCCCCATTGGTCCAGGTGGTCCAGGCGATCCCCTTTTGTAGGTGACAGTTCCACCAGGCTCTCCTGGGTCTCCAGGAGGTCCTTGCGGTCCAGGCGGCCCCATTTCTCCGTACACACCCATTGATCCCATATGACCATCATGAGGTTTGCTACCATCCGCTCCGCATTCTCCATCATGTCCCGGATCACCCTCATCGCCATCGGGTCCGGGTGGTCCACGTGGTCCCATTGGGCATTTGATGCATGTTC